AAGTTTTTATCGAGGATTTCTATTTTATGTTTTTATGCTTATTAACAGTTGTTTTCAGGAAGACTGGATGATGGATAATGATTAATAATGTACGAGGCATAGGTACATGTAGCAGGATAAACATAAAATAATTAATTCTAAAGTCGGTATAATAATTAAATATATCTTTATATTTATTATTCCATTAAATAAATTGGCATCGTACTTTCCATCATCTATTTCAGAATTTGATGGAAAGTGGCATTACAAATTGAGTAAAACTAGCACCCTCAATCATTGGTTTATAATCAGTATCCAGTAATGATCCTCTAATACATTTTCAAATCATATTATTTAAGTCATGTTTTTTTTTGTACCTAAATTTCGGAAAAATCATGTCCAATATAGGTATAACATAATATATAGATATTAAGCTATAGGTACAACGTTATCGCCTACCCACTTCTACATTTTTGGCAAATATAAAATATTATTAAGACACTCTCACTCGTGACTCTGTAGAAAACTCTGGTATTTTAAGAAAATCAAACGTGATTTGATTTGATAACAAATATATAAAAAAAAAGTAATCGTGTCAATAACACGATTTTATAATTTTATTATCGTTCTCAAAATCTATTTCTTTTATTTCGCGATGAATATTATGTTATAGCGAACGGCATTAAACCTTTTCAATAAGATTTTATAAATCATTTTCTTTTTTACGGATAATATTGTACATGATATTATTATAGCGGTGTGCTGCATGGTAGATAGGTAGATACAATATAAAATTACAGTAAAATGACAATGGTTATACCGATATAGGATTTGAAAAAAAAGCCAATTCCGACAACAGCAAATATTATAATAATAATATAATATAATATCATAATGTAGCGAAGAAACAGCGGAGACCGTCGAACAAATAATATTATAATGTGAACATAATGCCGAACGCATGTATTATTGTATCATACTGCTTTGTATATAATAATAATTTATTATAAATATATATATATGAGGTGATTTTGTCAGTTTTTATCGCAGCCTCGACAGTATGGTAGGTACTTATAATACGTTAACAATTGCCTTTGTACAATATTATATATACATATGTAAGACCTATCTGCCCACGTAAATATCTTACCACGTCTAATATTTTGGCGACGCGTAGCCAAGTGGAAAAATTTTTAATTCGTTTTCAGCCATGCTGCTGTGACACACGTCAATACGTCAAAATTATGTATTTTATGACTATTAGGTTATGAATGCGCACGCTTATTTAAGTTTTGTCTTAATTTTTAGTAATTACTAAATATCAAACAAATCGTTCATATTTTGCACTTAATAAAAATACAAAATAATATTAAATTTAAAAAAAAGCTTATAGGTTTTATTTTTAGTGTAATAAATCAGTTTTTACTTTTCCACAGTCAGTAATAACGTTTACAACATTAATAATATTATTCAATTAATTTTCCCTTTCAGCTATATATCAATATATCATAATATAATAAACAGGAATGCATCTAAAYATTATTTTGAACGAACAGCCCACTTCCCGSAACCAGCTGGGACTCATCGCAGAAAAAAATCTCAATAACTCGTTGTTGAAGAAATAGTTTGCCATCACTGGTGATTGTACCCTGGACGAAAAATCGTTAGTACATGATTTGGTTGAGCTGATGMTGTGAAGCTCATACGCATAATGGCAAGGAAAAAAATGACGAAACCTGTCATTCATATTGGTGGGCGTAATACTAATCAGTACCCTTTTTTCGTGCAATTCATAATTTATTTTTGAAAAATTATAATAATTACGACTAAAAACTATTATGATTAACGGTGCTATTGTATGTGCTGCGGTCGTCATCGGTATTTTTAAACGCATCCGTTTTTCCCATAAAAGGGTGCCCTTCAATCATATTATATATTATTATTATACAGTTGCGTTCTAATTTTTTTTTTGTCCGCTCCTATTCTACTCGCTCGTTCGTAAACGGGTGCACAAGTCCTTCAAGTCGTACGCCAATTTCGTGCGTTCTATTGTTTAATTTATGGTTTCTTGCATACGCTTATAGTGATGGTCTAAACAATGTTATCGTCAAACATATAACCTATCTATGTATATAAATACCTACATGAGATATATGTATGCAGCTCACTATTTACCACGGCCCGAATGATATATATTTATCATTATATACATGTATGTATATAGGTATGGACACAGAACAAGAGTATTCTCCTTGACATCGGACACGAACAAATACGGATTTCAACATTTCGTCCGTAGGTAACTAATATTTATTTTTATTATATTTGGTCGGAAACATAATAAACGTGAAATTCGAACAACGGATCAACAATAATAATATAATGTCCGTTGTCAATCAATATGTTGTATTATTTATACACATTCACACTCTCGTATATTGTATATATTCATATAAAAGGTAGAAAAAGTTATTTTGTTGTGTTCTTATCTCATTATTTGATGCAGCAGCAGTATGAGGTTGCATAGGTAACATAGGATATAAAGAAAACTTCCTAATAGTTTAATCATGGTTATTAATCATCTCTTAAATTAAAATAGAGAATGTATTTAATAATAACTATTGGTGTAATTCAGTTTCATATAGCTATACAAGTATTATTTTTTGAAACCTCATCTACACGGCTACAGAAGTTTTAAATTTCAATTATTGCAACTCTTTATTATWATACAGGTACCAGCTGTGTGCTTTCAAATTATAAAATATATTTTTAAGTGTCTATTTTGAAATCAGTAGTTACGTTATATTATTATTTATCATTAATTAATAATTACATATTTTAGTATTGTGGATAAAATGTTTTGATTTACTATTTAAGATTGATTAATTATATTGAATACAATTATACATTATAACATTATAAAGTCTTTTAAAAGAAAATTGTCTGTATTGTACCTACCTAACATATTAGGTGGGTATAACTATATAAGAATGGATTTTAAATTCAATTATTTTCAATTATTTTCAATTATTACAATATGTATTATATAATTTACTATATACATATACATATAGGTAAACTGTGCATACAATATAATATAGAGTAAGTGACCAATGCTTTTACACTTTCGTAAATATTATATTATATACACGCAACACGCCTATGAACAGACAATGAAAAATCTTTAGCTTAGGACAACGTAAAACTCTTGATAATGGACATTCTTTTTGGGTTGGTTGATGTTCACCATAATACCGCGGAGATTTCACTATACCTATACTAAAATGTACATATACATAATATTGTGATCACGAAATCGTAATAGAAATATTCGTGACCACTATTTACCGTAGTTTATATATATATATATATATATAAATATTATATACGCCTACACTGTGCCCAGTTTATTTTTTATGTATACCATTAAAGTAAATCTAGTTTCAACAATGCGATGTCATTTTATAATAATGTTCGAGGTTTTTTTTCTCTTTTTTAACTTTATCTTATATCCAACGGTTTTAAGGTTTTTTGTCTTGCGAGCACTGTCGGACGACACAACGGTATTTTCTAGATTTYCACTAATTAAGTATGTATATCAGCATAATACAGGTTATAGTCCGCCTCGATAATTTTTTATATTTTAACTATTTTAAGTCTATGTAGTCATAGTCAATGCACTATTTATTGTTTTTTCAATCAGACCCACGCACCGGAACACGGCTTATTTTCATTCGACGRAGCCAAATTTGTATTGTCAACTTAAATATATGATTGAACGAAATAACCCMCTATCAAACTTAAAAAAAGTTAAGAACATTATCTTTGTTTGAACGACGTTTACATATTTGCCTAAGATATTTCAAATTTTCTGCGATATAATATTATGGCAAATGATTTTAAAATGGAATATTTTGCATGGGTTCCTACGCCACATAATTTGCATTGAATTAAAATATGTATATATCATAAAAAAGCCAACGTACAAAAACAGATAGTGCACTTAACTCTAAGTTTGATGATAGGACAATCGACTATATTACTGTAGCTATAACAACAGAAGGTCGGTTTTGCTGAACGTGAATTCGCCATGTCGGGCTCGGTTCGGAGAGAGAAAACAATAATAATGCACAGACATCCTCTCAACACCCGCGAAGAAGCTGCAGTACACGTAAGTACACTTGAGCTTGCAAAATTGCTTAATTGTACTCGACTAAACTTAATTTATCAGCTGTTTGTTTAACGTAGACAAATCGCTGGTGAAACGATCGAATAATGTCATTCTCCCATCAAAATATTATAAGCGCATGAACTGCATGTCATCGTATATGCAATCAAGACGGATAAAATGTCGTTGGTACCTACCTACCTATATAATAATATAATCTACAACCTTCATCGGACGATGATTTCACTATTCTTCGAAAATTTTACGTGCGGTGGACTATAATAATACGTATACATCCTGGAGACAATATTTTAGCGAGGTAAATTAATTACAAAAAAATCCTAGCTTAGGAAAAATTGGAGAAATTTAGAAAATAACGAAGATCACATTTTTTCCATCCCGATTAGCAATTTTTTTTTCTAGTTTTAATTATCATTTCAAACCGGTCGTCGGCACACAGAGACGTCACGTCAAAATCTAGTTCAAACCATTACCTATTATTTATATAGAAAAAGAATGTAATAAAAAAAATGTAGTTGAATCCCATTATTAACTTGAGGTCAGTTTTAATAGCAAATAGTAACATTTTGTCACTGTATGAGTTTTTTTTACGATGATATTATATACACATTGACATTGCTATAAACAATAATAATGTGTTTGTATTTCGTTGATAATCAAATAAAAAACCAGACTATATAGATAAAGCGAAAAACCCGAAGTATAATAATAATGTTGATTTGCTTTGTTTAACAGTTATAAAAGTTTGTATTTATAACGTCACATAATACGATATATTATACATAGTGATTATTTAAATATAATATACTGGTGCAATAAAATATTGACTGACCTCTAAAATACAATTGTAACCATTTGAAACTAGATAGTTTGGAACTGGATACGTAAATACGCATAAGAGAAATTAGTCTTCATCACCTGAAACAAAGAAAGAAATACTTAATAATATAATGTTACTGCATCAACCGTTATAATATAAATCGGTCTTATAAACTTATCCGTAAACGTTTTATCTGTTCCTATAATAATTTATGAACAACAATATAATGGTTAAAACGATTTTATTAACTGTATAATATATACATATAATATCATATTTTGTCTATCAAACTCAATAATACAACTCAGTTATTCTAACCACAGGTATAAGCTTTTATGGAAGATGGGTACTTAAAAAAAATTTTTACGACAGTTATAATATCAATGCGTCCTTTTATATAAATTGTATTTTATAGATTTCAGTCGTAATCGAATACAACGTTTCATGTTTCAAACAGGCTCATTTTTACGAAATATCACCCTATTCCAGTAAATGTGTTMCAATTTGTAAATAATTCGTGGTATCAAAACACCGTCCAAAATATTAAACGAACACCGCATTTGATTATTGCACAATACCTCGCGGATAGCTGTACACTCTGATTGACATTCCACGTTTTTAAATTCATTTGCAGTATAATGCGCTCGTACTTTGAAGTAATATTATGTTTATCGAGGAATAATCATTTAAATTAAGTGTCACCGTAATGCTATTCCTGGAGCGTCCTTGAATATTAAATCGTGGCCGATGATGGTCGTTCGCCATAATGTTCTGACGGAATGTAAAGCTCTTTCTTTTTCTGTCGCAAGCGTGCGTTACCAGCTATATATATATATATATTATATATATATATATATAGAACACAACTCACGAGTACACGTACATTAATACATACGATATGTACGCATCGGTATAAAAACAAATTAACAACACACTCTTGTACGAGGGGTATCGCGTATAATACGTATTTTAATGTAAGCGATTTGTCTAAACGTTAATGTACCTACAGGGCGATACACACAGAACACGTTTACCCGAATTTCAATTTATATTCATATTTTATTAAAATGCAAAAATTCATTGGCGAATCTCCCTATAGATAGGTACCCGCCTGTTATACCGGCTATCCACTTATCATACTGTATATAATTATCGTCACGGTCAAGAGGGAAACGTTAATTAATGCAAAATACATATGTACAAAATCACGTCTTATCGACGAGTTGCGTAGGTCTGAGGGGAGTCGTCGCTAATACGAGTGCAAAACCGGCTGAAGGTATAAGCGAGATTATATAGATAAAACAATGACCWATACATATATTTTAGATTATTTTAAGGGCGGAAAAATTTGATTTTGCATAGAGCACTATTTTTGAGCAGGCTTTAGACGAGTGTAATATACTAATTATTGCAGAATTATTGTATATTGTAATATGTAAATAAATGTGTTGCATACGTTAATTATTGAAGTATTTCAGTATTGTCCGTGATTCAGTTTTTAAAAATAAAGATAGATGAAATGTGTGTAGTACAAAATTGCTTCGTGTGTTCTATGGTTTGGTTACCTAACCGATTTGAAGTGACTAAGATAATTTAAACARACATCAGGGCAATTTTTTAGGTACATGCGGCATATAGATACTGTTATTTGCAATAGACGTTTCGTGAATATCGGACCATCCACACGTGTTGAACACACCGTAATGAGCGTTTTAAAATCGTAAATTATTTTAATAACTTGTATCATTTACGATAAAAGCAATAGTAATATTCTTACACTAACATTTTATCACTATCTGTTCAATTCAATTATTAAATATCAAAAATAACAGAGTAAAAACGATTTTTCAAAATTTGATACGTTATAATATCTATGCGTTAATAAGAGACGACATTGTTCAACATCTCGTTGAATCCACTATGAATATACATTACTCATTAATTTGGCCGATTTTATGTAATGGGAACCGAGTGTTCATAAACTGTTTTCACAAATTAGTAATAACGTTACAAGTATATAACATGTTTTAAGATGAACACTCATTCCAAAAGTAATTTATTTAATTGAAAATGTTATTATTGTGTAAAATACGAATTTCTATTCAATATAAGCGATTAAAAATTATTCTGAAAAAATATGTAAAATTATGTAAAACGAAATTAAAATCGTTTAAACAGAATCTCTACAGAGTTAATCATTAATTATTCACACGAGAAAGGTTTTCACGCTAGTTCATCAGCTAGTTCAGAAGGCAAAACGATAGATATTCAGAAGGTAATGTATTATAAATTGGTACCCAATTAATTATACGACATCGTAAGTTATTAATATAGTTATGACAAAATTGACTTATCGTTCGAGCGTTGCGGGAGAAATGCTTATTACACGTTTCGAATATTTAAAATTTTTTTTTTATTACAATATATATTATTATCTATACCTATACCTATGAATATGATTCAGTGTATATGCATTGCTTAATTTTCATAAATTCTATTATAAGATTATCCAGACGGTTTTATACGTCATCATATTATTATTATTGTGTCCGACGAACGCGATGTTTTGCAGTCCACGGCGCTGCGCATCGCGTGGATTTGTATAATAATATTGTGTAGGTA